AGCTTCAACTCAATGTAGGAGAATAATGTAGTGTGTACATTTGATACTCAAGCCATGCAACAAATCATATGCATTTAATTCAACAGTACTATGAAAAAAAAAAGAAGTACCTGAGTAATCAAGAATGTACTTAACCTTTCTCTAAGCAACACAGAAAAAAGTTGTTGTGAAATATGTGACAACCCCCTAAAAATATAACTAAAGGGCAACTGGCAAAGTGTGCTGTAAAACCACAATTGGCACTAAGTAAACAACAAACTGACACAGCAGAAGAAAAATTTGCTTTGGAGCCATGCTCAGTAAAAGCTGATGTATGCTCACAGTAAAATGAGATGTATAATGCAAACCCCAAAGAAAATAAAAGACAACATAATTTCAGTGTTATGCCAGCACAACAGGTCTAAGAATAAGAGTTAGAAAATTCCTGTGGGCTGAAGAAAAAAAATATTAATCCTCTTTAAACCTGAAATCATACAAAACCTCAAAAATTATAGTAAAACATCTTCCATTACATTTACATAATCACAGGATAGAGAAAGGAAAAGTGAGACCATTCAGTTCTTTGGATTTGCTTTCCCTTAACATTAAAAATTGACAAAAGTGCTTGGAAAGTGTGCAGCAACCCTAGAGGCACAGCCGAAGGAAGAGGCATCCAGTATTTTATATGTGACTCAAACCAGCAGGTGAGCCCCAATGCTTCTGGAGAGCAAGGAACTTCTGTTACTGTGTCAGGTTCCTTTAATATATAGGAAAAAAATGTATATATACATATTTTATTTCTCTTTCCAAAAAGATAGCACAGCTCTAAGCCTTGGAAAGAACAGGTTTATTAGAATAAAACTAACTCATCATCTTAGGGCAGCAGGGAAAAATGAGTAAATCCTGAAATTTCTAGCCACACAGATAGAAACAACCTGGTGGAAAATTGTTAAAATAGAAAGACTATCAGTATGACACAATATCGCCGAGTACTCTGAACCTATGTTCATGACTCAATGAACTATGGCTTTGGGCTCTGAGCATTTAAAGAAGATATCCCATTGCTGAGAAACCAGAATAAGCAGAATCAATTATACAAAGCTTGGAAACTGGATTTGAAAGTTAAAGCTTTAGCTATTGATTCTTCATATGACTGAAAATAATAATTACTGCAGCAACACAGGCAACAAACAACTACTTATATTAATACCAACATATAAATTAAATATTTAATGCAAGGATAGATTCCAAATTAAATAATTAAATTTGCCAGACAGATAAATGTGATGTCTCATTTCTCACAGTTCCAAGTTAAAAGCTTTAAAAAACACGCAAAGTACAGCTCTGCTGCCATCAGTTACATGGTGGCCTTTTCCAGCCTTAGTGATTCTATGGTTAGCATTCCATGTCCTCACAAATCCCCTGTCCAAAACAGGTTGGGAAGTGGGGCTTCTCCCACTTTCTGTCTTCCATAGTTTTACCTGCTTGATCTCATTTCTCTTCCTGAGTCCCCAGTTGTTGCCAATGCTCCTGATTACTCAAGTTTTTACATCTTCACCACAGGCTACAAAACTGACATTTGCCACACGCAGATGTGATACAAATCGTGCTTTTAAAATAAAAATAAAATAAATATTAAAATAAATAAAATATGTAGATAGAAACTTCAGCATGTGTAGCCTACATCCTTGTTGAGATCTCTTGTTAACTAATGAAGCCTCTTGCTCTTAATCCATGTTTAGATGAAGAATTCAAGTAAACCCACAGGTATTGTACTGTTTCTGTGTTACAATTAACTGTGCTTTGCGATATTTAAGCAAACAACAAGAAATGAATGAAAAGTAGTAAAATCCATAGGCGAAAACCGTCAGGTATACTATTCTATTAACCAGCAACAACAAACAATAAGATAATGCTATGCCTAAGGCATAGTGTCAATTACAATATAACAAAATGAATACAAAAATAAAAAACAGCAGTGTTACTGCACCTATTTGTGCATTGACAATCAAACAGATGCCATCCGCTGCCAGGGCAGATTTAGCATTCAAATGCTAACCTACTAACCATATCACTGGGAAGAAATTGAATAGATAAATCGAACCTAAAATAGCATTAACATTATGACATAAAAAGCAGGAAATGTAAAGTCAGTGCTTACTGAGCTGCTGGCTTAACTTTTTTTTTCTTTATTTCATGGGAATGCAAACTAACCTCCAGTCTTACATAGTGGTGCTCTTAAGTCAGCAGCAGTCACATCTTGGTCGAGTCCAGTAGTTGAGCATGTGCTTATATTGCCCAGGTAAATAAACTTCTTTCTTCTTACATGATTTGGTGAGGCAATCTCCATATTTGCTTGGAACAGGCTTGATTTTGAGAAGAAACTCCCTTAACTCATCAGCAAACTTTTGCAAGGCTCTCCAAGGCGAATCACAGAGATTATGTTTAGGATGTAACGTAAATCATTACCAAATAAATCCCTTTTAACAGATCATCAGTAAGCAAGACCATGATGATAAAATCCTTGGGGTCTGATGGTTAGCATTGCTGTGTGCTTGACTGGATTTTCCAGCTTACCAGCTTTCTTGTGCATTCCTGTATAATTCAGGATGGATGCATTCCCTTTAAGTGCTGGGATCCAGAGGCAAACTTCTTTGAATTGAAATCCTTAATTCAATTTTTTCTTTATTATTTCTCTTGCAAGGCAGAGAGAATAGCTCTGTCTGGGGGGTGGGACCAGATAGCCAGATCAATCATGCTGCCCCATGGCAAAATGCACACCCTTTAGAACATGCAGTGTGTATGTATTTTGTCCATTGCAATGACTGGTTAAAGAAATGCTGCAAAGAGAGGAAAAGTGCAAAAGCACAGGACTTCCTCTAATGAGAAGCCTGTACAAAATTAGGTCAGTGCAGTGAGGTAAATAGTAAGTTAGTAAATAATTCTAAACGTTGCAGTGACGCTCAACGTGGCAACATCAGAATAACTCCAGCAGGATGTAAGTTCTGTTATGCAGTAATAAAATATAGTCTACATAATCCTGCAAAGATTTGCGAAGACCCAACAACAAAACCTGTAAGGGTAGTCTTTTCTGTAAGCATCTCAAGCTATAAGAAAACAAAGTTGAGTAGCCCAGTGTCCTGGTTTCAGTTAGCACAGAATTAATTTTCTTCCTAGTAGCTGGTGGAATGCTGTGTTTTGGCTTAGGATGAGAAGAGTGCTGATAACACCCCGATGCTTTAATTGTTGCAGAGCAGTGCTTATACTAAGCCAAGGACATCTCAGCCTTTTGCTCTGTCCTGCCAACGGGCAGGCTGGGGGTGCAGTAAGAGCTGGGAGGGGACAGACCCCGGACAGGTGACCCAAACTAGCCAAAGGGGTATTCCATACCATCTGACGTCATGCTAAACAATATATAGGGGTGGCTAGCTGGGGGGAGGGGGCCGGACTGCTCGGGGTTAGGCTGGGCATCGGTCAGCGAGTGGTGAGCAATTGCATTGTGCATCACTTGTTTGTACATACTATTATTACTTTCATATTATCACTATTGTATCATTATTGTTATTATTGTTATTATTATTTTTTTGTTATTATTATTTTCCCTGTCTTATTAAACTGTCTTTATCTCAACTCACGGGCTTCACTTTCCATTTCTCTCCCCCGTCCCAGAGAGGGAGGGGGGAGGGTGAGCGAACGGCTGCGTGGTGTTTAGCTGCCGGCCGGGTTAAACCACGACACCCAGAGAAAGCAGGGAAATGCACAGCAGATGTCCAGTAAATAAACCAAAAAACTCGTTGGGTTGTTGCTAATAATCACAGAAAACAAGCAAACTACTTTGGAAATTCAATTTGCCCTGCAGTTTCTCTATGTACATACTGGAATACCAGGCAGAAAGCAAACATTTTGGTGGACATTGAGACGAACAGGATTTCCGAGCGCTGTGAGAGCACTCCCAGAAGCACACTCCCCCGGCACGATTTCATGAGGCAGGGGAGCAGCCCCTGCACTGCTGCACAGCACAGCACGCCGGCACGGAGAGGGGCTGGGGATGAAGCCACGGCCTGCCTGACCAGTCAAATTAACCACAGCCTTTGCCTTTATTTCTTCTAGCATTTGAATATTGTCTCCTAAGGCAAACCCAGCATGTACCAAATTACATCTCAAAAACCTATTGTATTTTACTTTTTAAATCACAGAATCACAGGCTGGTCTGGGTTGGAAGGGACCTTAAAGCCCATCCAATTCCAAATCTCTGCCATGGGCAGGGACACCTCCCACCACACCACGTTGCCCAAAGCCCCCCAGCCTGGCCTTGGGCACCTCCAGCTTCTCTGGGCAAAGTAAAGAAAGGCTTTACAGAGACAAGAGGAAAGGAGAAAGAAAAACAAGTTTTGGGACAGGGTTCAAAACTCCAGCTCATTCCAGTTGGCTGATTTCTTTCACCCCACGTGGACACGTGTTTGCTTAGGGTCTCACCTTTCAACCACGAGCCGTGCTGCCACATGAAGTGGCATTTCACCAGGGCCCTCCAGCTGGCAGCCCCATGCCCAGGCTGCCTGCAGGGCTGGAGGAGCTCAGCACAACCCAGCTGTGTGGGTAAGGAGGGAGGAAGAGTGAGGACTCCAGTTCTGGAAGCTGCGGGCAGGATGCAGCACCCGTTACATCGAGGTCACACATCAGAGGAGAAGCACAGCAGCAGTGTGTTGGTACAGGGGAAATGCAAAACGGGGTGATCATTCAGGGGTCAGCACAGGCAGCTCAACCACCAAATGCGCCGTGCTTCCAGCACTGCTGTGCTCTGGCCACAGCCAACTCGAGTGATATCTCACTAAATATATTTAGATTTAAATAATTTCTTTGATTCAATAAGGACGATATCAGGGGCTCTCTCACAAAAACTGCAGATGTTTCTAAACAAAGCTTTAATGAAAAAAAATCTAAAATATAAAAAATTCAGAGCTAAATAATTGAGAATTTATGGTGTTGTATCAGGGGCAAAAGACAAAACATGTCCTCATATATTAGATATGGTCTGAATAGCCTTTAATGTCAACAACATATCACACAGTAAGTGAACAAAACACCTGCAGATTGTTATTCTGAATCAGTTCAGCTTACATTAGCACATGTGAGAAGGTTTAAACCAGAACAGTCTACACAGTGACAAAACGGTTTATAAAAACAGTCTGTTGTTTTTGTCTCCAAGTTGCTTCTCTTCTGGTAAGACTTTTAATTTTTCAGACTTTCAAATTTTATCTCTACAGAACTCTGCTGAACCTCGAAAGGCAGCAGTTAAAATCCATTCACTGAAAGCAACATCAACTCTGAAAACAAATGGAAAAGGTCAGGGACGAGAGAGGATCTGGAGAGCAAGTGAGGAGATGTCTTGATAGGAGGCCTCATTGCACCTGAATAATAAATTTCTTTCTTGAGTTTGGTACAAATGGAACCACGTTGAATTCAACGTTTGGAGGCAGTTTTTTATGATTAAGCAGTCATCCTTTTAAGCTGTACTTACTATTTCTTTGCTGTTAAAAGGCAGAGTTAGGTCGGTGTGCTGCTGTGCCAATACTGTCTCTGAGAGGCACAAATTGCAAACCAGAAAGGAAAACCCACAAAAAGTCACCAGCAAAGCCAGCACTGACCTCCCACACCAGCAGTCATTTTTGGTCCATTCTTGGGCATCGTTCTGGGATGAAATCCCTTCCAGACAGAGCTCCACTGGCAGGAAGAGCGCACAGCCAATCTCTCTTCAGACCCAAAGCTGTGATATCCCCGTCATCACCACAAACACCATAAATGATGTGAGGTTCCTGCTGACAGTACTCAGTACTGGCTGGGCCAAGGTCTGTGGCAGGGCTGCCAATCTCACCATTGTGAGCTTCTGCTCAGCACACTCTGGAATTAAAAACAGAGCCCAAACACCTGGCTGGGTAAGATATAAAAATGGGCTTCCCTCAGAGGGAAAAGTTGCCTAAAAATGTGACGGACTCATTTTCAGGGCAGGGCAGTTGCTATCATGTAGTGGCTACTTTTTTTGTTGGCGGTGGGTTGGGTATAAGAGTTGGCCCTTCTTAGCATGATGTGCTTTGCCCTGCAAGCACAGTGGCAGAGCCAGTGGCTGCAGGGCACGGGCAGCTGCAGGAACCAGCCCTTACGTAGGCAAGGTATAAGTGTCCTCTGCCCTTCCCGAGGCAATGTGAAGTAAATGCACTTGTTAGTGCTAAAATAAGAGACGTTGCCTTCATGGTTATACTTCTAGGAGAGGCGTAATATGCAGTATGTTGCCACAGCTATTGTGACCCAGAAAGCTGAACGTAAATCACAGCATCAAAAATCAGCAGACGAGAGCTGTGGCTCAGTGGACAGGTATACAGCAAATCCACTTCTCAGAGCAAGGTTAAAATAAATCCAGCATTTTCCCAAGATGCTATACATTACACTGACAAGATAGCTGAAAATACCGTAAATAAAATGGCTTTTATCATCTCATATCAGTCTCTGGTGGGTAATACTGTTTATCTCAAGAATACCTCCTCCAGCATCACATAAAATTCAGCAGTAAAATGGACTTTGGTTCCTCAAACCAAACAACAGAGCGGGGAGATGCTGCTAATGAACTAACGGGTCCATTCGCTCCCTGTGCTGAAGGAGCCACAGCCTGCAGTCCAGTCCCCATCGCAGTCCCCTGTATAATAACCTGCGACAACAGAACAAGAGATGTCACATTTCTTTAATGTGTGTATCCTTTCATTTTATAAGATGAATGAAAATAAATCATTATGTTTATCATTTCAACAGAAATTGCTCATTTTCCAACTCCAGAAATCTGAGTATTCATTGCCATATTCATTGTTTGCATAGGGGGTTATCCTCAGCTACGTTCCAATTTACGAAATAAAATTTAAACTTCTGCTAAATTGCAGACTCAAACGGATACTTTGCTTTTAATTACTTTCAAAACTGTTAAATATCTGACAATAAGGGATGCATTCTTCAGCTGTGTGATACATTTATTTACTCCGCTGTGCTTTTGGAGCTCGCTGAATGTTTATAATTAGGTTGTGTAACCATGCGAACCTTCAGCTGGTGTTTGCTGTTTCCAAAGCAGTTTTGTTCTGCATTTTGAAAGAAGGAAAAGCTACAACGCACCATGAAAATTATGCAGTAGTCTTTAATCTATACTTCCAGCGTATAAAAAAGCCCACTTAAAAATTATAATCGTGATATTATAAATGCTGCTTAGGTGCATGGCAGAACAATGTTTCCTGGTGCAAGGCAAATGTACCCAGTGACATTTATCCATCTAGGAAGCAGTCGCTGCAGATTTCCTTCCCCCGTCCCACAGGTGCTGCCATCAGCCCCTGAGCGCAGCAGGCTTTGCACAACTACTTACACACCTGCACACACGAGGGCAGCCCAAACGGGGTGTGCATCTTCGAGTACTGCAGCAATACATTGGGTTAAATAACTGTGCTTTTGCAGGCTTCGTCCAAAAGCCCCCAGGTTGTGCAGAGGCATTCAGGAGGGCGGCAGCACCCCGCGGAGCCTGCCCAGCTCCTCTTCTCCTGGCAGTGGTGGGCACAGCGGCCCCAGCACACAGCAAGGCTCTCCTCTGCCTCTCCAGGAGTCGTGGCACTTTAAATAGGTGCATTTCTTCTTAGTAGGGTAACTTCTCATCCAGGATTAATTTTTCCATTGTTTCACGAGAACGTGCCTTTTAAACCATTCTGTTTTCTGCAGTAAACAGCAAAAGAGAGTAACAGTTGGTGTCCGGTTTAACCATCTGCTCACACACAGGATTTCTAACTCTCCCCCATGTCATTTATAAACAGACTCCACCCTGTACGTGATTAAGTTATCTCCACCACACAAATGTTCACGTACATCTTTCCAACCCAGCAGTACTCCACACAAATTTTCTAGTAAGTGCTGAGAAACTCAGCTTTCCTTAGAATGATGACAAAAATCTGAACGCAGACCACAACATGCAAGCATTGGAGATTTGCCATCTTCCTGTGCTTCTGTCACAGTTGTAGCTGAAGAGTTATGCAAATACATGAGTTTTCTGTTCAGGAGCTTGAAAAATAATAATGAAATATCAGCTTGACTATGAATCATTTTTTCCTTTTTTTTTTTTTTTCCCCTCGCCAAAATCTGCCACACAAAATTCCATTTTTCTTTCCCTGTGGAAATTATCAAGCAAAACCAACCAACCAAACAAAAATGAATGGAAAATGAAGGTGGTGCACTGGTACCATTCAAAGAGGGAGCAGGAGGGGGGTAACAATGCACATTGCTCCAACCCCACCGAAACCAAACCTCTGTGGTGGAGGAATCCTTATTCTGCCTGAAGGGACACAGATTTCCTCCCCTGACAGAGTCTCTGCATTTAACATACCCTTTGTCACGGCCTGAGACACGGCGCCCTGGTAGCAGGTGGGCAGGAGCCTGCACAGAACCCAATTATCTTCAGCAACAGCTCTGGGAAGAGAGGTTTGGCTCCATGGAGCTCCCTGCAGATAAATAAATAAATAAATAAATAAATGGATTTCAGATGGGTCTGGAAAGTGCGGATCTGGCTGTGGGTTTTCACTCCTTTAAGTGCTGTACTGGTGCTGTGACAGCTCTCAGCTGCCCAAGGTGTCCTGATGCTATGAGGACATGCAGAAACAGCTGAAGTCAGAAGCAATTTCTGCAGGTCTGTGTGTCTTCAATGTTAGGAGACAATTCTTGTGCAGATTTTCTTTATTTCCTTCTGAGACTTAAATAGGTCAAATCCCTCACTCAGTGTCATGCAGGAAACTGTACATTTCTATATTTGAGAATGTATAATCAGACCATTTAAGTATTATCATTATAGAAATGACAACAAAACACAGACTGATAAGAACTTCAACTTATCCACAGGCCCTTGAACTTTAATGCAAGTTATTCTGATATTCAGCTCTTTGCCTCATATCACTGCATTCCAAATATATAGAATAAAAATTGGATTAAATAACGTGCTGAAGAGCACCACTGTGCAGTACGTAGAGTGCTTGGTGGCATGCAGGATCCACGTGTCTAGATGAATTACTAAGGCTCGAGAGTTAAAGTGTCCAGGCATGATGGGAGAAAATACAACACAGTGATGGCTTTCCGATGCCTCTAATAAAAACAGCAATTCCAGCAGAGCACAAAGTACCAGTATATTCTCTTAACAAAAATATTGAGTTAGAGAAGTGAAAGAGATGGCAGAAAGAGAAAACAGAACATATCCGCAAGTCGCTTGGTCTAGGACAATAACAGACTTCTTAAATTCTGCATCTGCACCATCCTTCCCGACGAGCTGCTAATATACAAGTCTGTCACAGACTAAATCTGGTAGAAAAGATTGGAAAATTATGTTAATGTGACTCGAGCTGAGAATACTAAACCAAAATAAACAAACAAAGAAACCAAAAGATAGAACTTCGTCACTGCAGAGGCTGTCATGGAAATCATAACACACTGCCAAATAAAAGGAAAGGCACGTTCACTGCTGGAGCACGTGAGAAATAGCTCATGGGGATGGAAAGGTGGGACATGGCCCTTCTGGGCTGTATAAGAACACACACACCAGAAACCTCACAACCCTTTCTATCTATAGGGTAAAAATGAGAGTATTTGGTGCCTTTTCATCTGCTTATATGAGCGGGCATTGGCCAGTCTGCATGGGCTGGTTAGGGGGCTGGGGCTCGGCAGCCCCCATCAGCAGCATAAGCACCGCAGAGGCACGTTCCCTTTCCACAAGTGTTTTCCTGCCAGGGTTCTCTGGGAGCACGCAGCTTCCCGCCTGCTCTGCAGCTCTGCCAGTGCTGTCCTCCCCGCCTACTTTCGCCTCCTTGGCGTTAAAAAGATGTACACAAAGTTTCAGTAAACTGTGAAATGAGCTGTCATTCAACAAAGCTAAGCTTTGAATAATGTGTGCTTGCTAATACATATTGCCATCAGCTTCTAAAAAAACAACTACAAAATCCTTGTCAAAATGGTAGGTCTTTCTGAAAATGTAACGCTAGATCTGATTTTTAAACCTACAGATTTGCTTTTGCCACTCTTTGCCAAAGAGGGGTATCTAGAAGAGCATAAGTCAAATCCTTTTCACTGATCCTAATGGCAAATGCTAAGAAGAAAATGAGAACGTTAAAGCCTGCTAAAAGGATCCAGCTGACTTACCATGCTATGGTTTTTATTATTAAATGATATTTTTCCTGACTGAATAAAATTAGGATGCTTAAATGCTGCATACCAGTGATCCTGATTAGTTGTATGTCTTGAGGGATGTCTGAAGGACTCAGATAACCAGCGCTTGGGATTACATTTAATTTCTATATGAATTTTGGATTCGGGGGAAACATATGAATTTCAGATTACCCACAACTTGGATAACAAGGTTTCATGCATTCAAGGCTTGCCTACATTAAGGAGTTGCCCAAGAGCTATTCTGCATCTTGTGTGTAACACATCAACAAATGAAAAAAAGACCGAGAAAGGAGTTGATGTTGGAAGGTAAGCAAAAGAGCACCTATAATGAAGTACATTTTGCTCATAAGTCAGAAATCAGAGAAGCATATTAACACGCCAGGTGAAAGTGCTTTGCAATTCCTCCCTAATTGGGCCCTGAATAAGAGACACTCGGGGACTTTTTGCATCAGCAGGGATTTTACTCCCGCGGTGAACCCGCTCGCTTGGAAAACAAGGTGAGGAGATGTTACAGGGGAGATGCTCTGGCTGTGTTTTATTTCTTGCACATTCACACGTGCAGCAAGAATTTTGGAAGGACCTACATGGCCATAAGGGCTCAGCTTTGTTCAGTCCTTTTGTGACTACTGTCCTTCATAAATATGTTTGGCCCATGCAAACTAGTGACAGGGTTTTGGGGGAAAACACCCCAGAAGTGTACTACAAGTGCTGCTACTGCATGAGGAACTTCACAGAGCAGCTTGTTAAAGTAAATGTTTTCTGAATTCTTTTAAAATATTGACATCATATTAAAAATAACACTAGAAAACAGAGCACAGAAAAATTCCAGAACATAACCCAATTAGTCATGGAGCGGTGAGACAAACACTAAAAAAGTTGTCAGATAGCAGGGACAGATGGGTTCCCATACACATTACAGTCATATCACCAAGGTGACTCCAGGTAGCCCCCAAGTGCCACCCGCTGTGCATACCTGGAGCTGGGGAGCATGGGACCCAGCCAAGGCCCCATCCCATCAGCAGCACAGGGGCACTCTGGAGTGAGCTTCCAAAATTTGGTGTATAATCTGTTTATAGCACTTTATTTGGTCTGAGATAAAAACAGCCCAGATACAAATGAAGACAGCTGTCAGTTGAGCTGGCCAAATGCCACTTGAGTTTCTATATCTTTTTCTCTTAAGAGAAGGAAAAAAAATCTCAGGAAAGCAAGCCAGCCCTGACTTCAGGCTGATACTGATAACAAGTGTTGGCTTTCAATATGTTTGGAATATTTCCCCTCTCCTCACCCCAAAGTTTGTCAAACTTGAGATGTTATTTCCAAGGCATGTGAGTATGCACTTTCATGCCTTTGAAATACCCTTTTACACATTAAAGACAGAATTTCACCAACATTTCTTTACTCCGAGTAGTCCCAGCCTTTGGCCTGTGCCAGCTGCTCTCACCTCTTGCTATCAAGCAAATGTGCCAACTTAAACTGCTATTTCTTCTCACTCCACTGCAGTACCAAAGATTCTTCAGGCCAAATAAAATACTGCCTTATGCTGTTAAAACGCCCTGATCCCCAGATAGCACTATAATAACAGCTGATGCTCAATGCCATGGTGTCACCCGATGCTTGTGTCAGAGAGCCTGCACTGCCTGCACTTTCTTAACCAGCAGAAAAATGAAAAGGTGGGTTTAGATAGGAAGAAAATAATTTCTCATTAACAAAATAGATGGGGTGTTAAAAAACTGGAGTAATTGCAGTTACGCAGGATGGACGCAGAGCTCAACTAACTGAAAAATTGGCCATCAGTAAGCGCCGAACCCCCAAATACCTGTTTGCTCTGCTAACAGCTGTGCTGCCCAAGGTTCACTGAGCCAGATGGGAAGACACAGATGCTGAAAAGCCAATGTAACCTCTCAAGTAGGCAGCAGGGAAAATGTAAAGGGAAAAAAAAATAAAGTTGTCAATATTAATGGAACATCAAAACTTCCAGGAACATCGACACCAGGTGATCAAAAGAAAACAATGAGAAAATCTCCCACCAGTAACGGAGCCGCAATAAATGCGAGAGAGCAGCAGGAGTTATCGATTTCCTGCTCTCCTACCTGGGGATGTCAGCTGGGACAGCACAGACCAGAGTTGTGTTTGAATCCATAGAAATAACTCACCGGTGTTCTTCTGGGACCCAGCGAGCTATGTGGCTGCTCTCCAGCATCACGTTTCAGCAATAGTCACCTCACTTCTGTACCAAATTAGCAACAGATACGCCTTATTGTGCTGACCTCATAACCTCATTGCTTTTTTTTTTTTTTAAATCACTTCACCACTTATTTGCACTTATTTCAATTTCGTTCTGTGAAATGGAGATGCTGTAAACACGTGAGAGAAGGAAAACCCCTGAAAAGCTTTATCTGAGTCCCACCAGCCAGTTACTACTGGCAGGTTGCAAGTTTATGGCAGAAATATATTGGGTGTGTTTTTATTTCTTCCCTCGCTAAACAAACAAACAAATAAAACCCCAAAGTTTGATTCCACTCTAGCAAGGAGACAAAAACAAACAAAAAGGTATAGCAACAGGTTGGTTTCAGCTGGGGGGGGGCTGAGCTGTGGCTCTGGAGCCCAGCCACAGGGGTATGGGAATGGGGCGGTGTGAGGGATGCTGCCCTTCACTGCAGCTGCCAACACCTCTCTGCACCCTATCTGTATGCCTATACAAAAAAATTTATCCTGGACTGAATTATCTGAGGCATTACTTATTTGGCAAGTACAATTTGAGATTATCAAAAAAAAATATTGTCCTTACCTCGTATAAACCCAAGCTACAGCTGTTCTGCTGATAGCAGCAACATCAACACCTCATCGATGGACTGAGGCCAACGCAGGCCCAAAGGCTCCGGACCATGGGACCAAATCCCCAGCAGGATTGGTGCCGAGGAGCAGAGGCAGCTCGCCCTTGCCTGCCAGCCCCATTCCCTGCGGGACAATGCCTCGTGGGGTGCGGGAGCTGGAGAAGGAAAGGGGACAGCGGTGGGATGCTGTCCTGCATGGGGAGGGGGAGTCCATCCAAGGAGGAAAAAGAGTAAGTCCTGGGGTTCTTGTTTTAAAGCTAAAATGAGAACTTTGCCTAAGTGAGAGCAGCTGGCAGGAATCACTAGAGATGATGGTGCCTGCGTGCTGTGGGGTAAGGGAGCCCTTACACTGTTGGGTACTGTGATTAAAACAGTCTAATTTCAATAGGCCAAGCCTCTTTTTCATTCATTTAAGATAAAATTAAGGTAAAAACACACATAGATTTACAATCATAGGA